AATTGCTCTATTGCTGGGCCCTTTTCTTAAAAGTCTCCTGGGATTTGTAGAACCCTTCATAGCGTTAAAGAGATTTTTCTGATATTCTAACTAAACCCATAAGGAAGGTAGAGCAGGGAATATTTCCCTTGATAGATGAGGAAACTGAGACCAAATGACCCTTACCCAAAGAAAAACAAGAAAGGCATCAGTGGATGTGGATTGCTGCATTTGTGGCATTCACTCTAGTTTTATGGACGCCTTCCTTTTCTTTGCCTTCTATATCTTGGGTCCTTTTGAGATTGTCAGGGCCTGGAAAAATGTCATTTAACAGTGTGTATAGGTTTCCTTTTCTAATTGATCCATCAAGGGGAATAAAAACAAAGATCAACCAGGAGATGATACAGATGCCTTAACATGCGCTGTCCTAGAGGCTTGATTCGTGCATAGGACCCCATGTTTCTATGAACACACACACCAGAAAGGCACTGAGATGAAATGGGAAGAGGACTCAATCCGGACTCAGAATTCTAGCTTGTCCCCACTGAGCTGAGCGACTTTCGACTTTCGGCAAGTCACAAGGTCATCTTGCCTCAGGTGTTTCCTCTCTGAAGGAGGTGTAATAATACCTGTTCTGGTTGAGTGGCAGGATTGTCGTGTGAATAGAGTATGGTAATGTACGTGAGTATGTGTTGAAAATCTAGCCCACTAGATTGTGAGCTCCTAGGGGGTAGAGGCCATTTCTGTTTTATTCATCACTTAGCTGACCTTCCTGCTGGGGTTACAGAGGATCATCAACCCTACTCTTGTTCACCGAGAAGCATATACCCAGAGACTGGCACATGCTGGGAAGTCGCTCCATAGAAATAAACACCATCAGCTACCCCGGAGGGATGATCATCTAGTTCTCTGAGATGCCTATATTTTAAGTCAATCTGTTCCCCCAGATAACCTCCAAATATGGCGAAAGAACCTATCTAAGTATTTTCATGTGATTTGGCAAAAGGCAGAAATTTAATTTCGTTTATGGAGATGGCTCTGCAGTGCTTAGCCTGGAGTTTGGCATATAGTAGGCACCTAAAAAAAAGTTATTGAAAGGGTGATGAATAAGTAATAGAATCTAGGGCATTGTTATTAGCCTGTCTTTGTTGCCACATTTCCTCCATTCTCTCCGAGACAGATATTGGGTGTGTGTTGTGTGCATAGTTGTCGGGTCAACCTCTACTCCCTTGGTGAGTGTCCTTTCCACCCAGCTTGAGAGTTGCCTGCAAGGAAGACCCAGGAAACCACAGATCCCTGACAGCTGAGGGATGGGAAAGGCTGACAGCTGTCTGAATGTACCATGTGGCCAGGCCTCAGCATCCTCACATTGTACCTGCTGCTCTACCTCCAGTCTTAACCTGGAGGTCTATGAGCCTTGCTGTGTTATTTATTATATGACATAGGAAAATAAGAGTTTGGGGGGGGGATAAGGCGGCATCAAAAGGGCTATGTAAATAATTAAAAAACAATTTCTTTTTAAAAATTGTTAAGTAATACATACAATAAATGTCTCTGACCTACCATTCCTTGGTATCAACTCATCTCCTGTTGCTGCTATTATGTGTTCCCTAGTGTGTAGTTGGCTGTGTCCGCAAGCATTCGGTCACATCCTGTATGTCTTCAAACTAATTAAATGTGGTTGCAGTTGTCCGGGTACAGTGTCAAGCTCTCACATTCTTCATGGTACTTGCTGAGAAAATTTTTAACAAAGGAATTTTTACATTTTGATGTGTTTCCTAAGGTGAGGAGATGGGTAGGAGTAAGGGAGGTCTGTTGTAGTAAAGCTTAAAGATTAATGGTTAGTTTTCTTAATCATGTCCAAATGTCATCATACCTAGCATAGGGGAATTTGTGGAGAGATTGTTCTTCTTTCCCCATAAAGTTCAAAAGCCCTATAATAAATAACCAATAAATGTTGAAATGTGGACTCTGATTGAAAATGTGTGTGTGTGTGTGTGTGTGTGTGTGTGTGTGTGTGTGTGTGAGAGAGAGAGAGAGACAGAGAGAGAGAGAGAGGGAGAGAGAGGTGAGCACAGAGCTTATCTAATACTTGAAATATTGAAAAGATACCACGAGAGTCAGAGCATGAGGAAGCTATACTGGAATGGCTAAGGATCTCAGCTCTTAGTCACCGTTTTTCTTACCTCCTGGGTTTCTAATATTAATAGGGTTTGCTAGTTTCAATGATATTCTTTGACTCCCACCTACGACCTATGTAGCAATCATTGAGCTTATCCTACATTTCTCCTTGGCTCACATTTTGAGTTGTATTTCTACGATGTGTTCTTGCTGGCTGCCTTCTCTGATTTATGGGGTTCAAGGAGGGGTGAAGCAGAGGATTTTGAGAGGACAGATGGCTTGGAGACCAATTGGTTGGGCCCCTCTGTATTATATGAATACCAAGCATTCCCTTTGTTGGGTTTACAGAACATTTTTCAGTACAAGCAGGCTAGGAGCTGCCTGTCCTTATACTGCTCAGTTCCACTCTTAGATCATCAACTTTTTTGTGCTGTCCTAAAGAACTTCTCCAGAGTCCTTACTGCTGTCACTAGCAACCAATTGAGGAAAAAGAAAAGTGGCGTGCGGGAATTAGAAAATGATTTGCACTTCTTTATACCTAGAAATATCTGGCTCCTTTTCGAATCAGATTTTCAGAACAGTTCCATTTCCATACGAATTACTCATTGGCTGTAAAGGTCACTAGGAATTGCTGAGCATTGGAAACCGCAAACCGGTTAGAATGTGGCAATAGCTTTGCTCAGAATTGAATGTTGATTCAAATTGGCTCTGGTAATAAGATGCTCTTTAATGAAACCATCATTGAATGGATTAATAGATGCTTTCCTAGTTTTTGAGAAAGATACAATATGTGTGCGGGATGTGGTCTGGGCATGGGGACATTGACTGACTACTTGGTCACAGTTTCAAGCCTTTGTGTTAGTAAATCTTCCCAGAGAGCCTCCTTTGCCTGCAATATGGATGAATGGCCTTTGAAAGCTTAATGGGAATTGATGCCACCTATCGATTACCATTTAAAGCACACCTTCCTAATTTCTAATCATCGCTGAAGGAAATATGCTTTCCGGTGGAACAAGTATCCCTAATTGGAGGGTCCAAGTCTGGTGTCTTGATAGCTTAAGTGGTCAATTACTTCTTCTAGCAACTTGGTGCCTATTGGGTTGGTGAACATAAGCTCTGCTGAAGGTTGATACTAAACCAGATTTCCGTGGAGCTGATTATGTGCTGAATACTCAGCAGGTGGAAATCCCTGGCCTTTCTGCCCTGAAATGTGTGAGTGATTTCATGAGGGCAGGGGATTATCCCCAGATAAGCTTCTGGAACTGCCAACATAGTGAGGGTCAAGGCCAGGTTAGTTCCAGAGCATCTTCATATCATTTTGACGCTTCTAGTACTAGGCCCCCGTCCCTGGTTGGAGATTATGAACTGCTCGATACATAGCGGTAGAGGTGAGATAGGGACACCCTGAGCCAATGAGATTTCTGGAAAGGGTCTCAGAATTAACCCTTTCTCCTTCAGGGAATGAAAACAGTTTTTAGTTAATTGCTATAATTTCAAGAAACGCACTCCTCCTGCTTTCCCATGAAACAACTGGACAAATCCCATGATGATACATGTAGAAATATATTTCTTACTGATTTCTTAAAGCAAGCTGGTTTAGAACCAACATTTGTTTACTGTGGATCTTTGAGGAAAAGTCAGTAATTATACCTGCCATCCGATAATTTGATTATTGGTTGGAGAGAATGACTAAACTTTTCTTCTCTACCTGCTACACAAGTGGCTTCTGGATCACTGCTACAACCAGCTACATGGGTTACAGTAGCAGGCAGTGGTATGGATAGAATGGGTCCATTTTCTCACTGAAACCACCATATTTTCCTGGTTGGGGCAACTGAAAAATCACGTGAGTTCTTAAACACTCCATCGGTAGCCTTTCTTATAGACCACTTGCTACAGAACAAAGATATTGGTATTTTATGTAAAAGTGGTTTTGTTCATCATATTATCCTTCTATAATATTCTCCTTCGATCTTCTTTCTTCTTTCTCCTTGACAGTACTTACACTTTACTAACTTTTGCTAGTGAACAACTTGCTGTTTCCCCACCAAGATTTGGCCTATGTGCGGGTAGTGAGGGGGAAATAAATCTACTCAAGAAATTAAAACAGGGCTTCCCTGGTGGCGCAGTGGTTGAGAGCCCACCTGCCGATGCAGGGGGCACGGGCTCGTGCCCCGGTCCGGGAAGATCCCACGTGCCGCGGAGCGGCTGGGCCCGTGAGCCATGGCCGCTGAGCCCGCGCGTCTGGAGCCTGTGCTCCGCAGCGGGAGAGGCCACAACAGTGAGAGGCCCGCGTACCGCAAAAAAAAAAAAAAAAAAAAAAAAAAAAAAAAAGAAAAAAGAAAAAACAATTACCAGCTTCCCAGAAAATTGAATTATCAGCATGTACATGAATACTTGAAACAACTGTAATACATTTCAATAGAAAACCAATGTCTAAAATAGAATATGTAATTTTATAGTTCATCACTCCTCAGATTCTTAGAGTCAATTACCTAACTTCTGTGAACTGCTGAGACATAAAATCACTGCTTTTGTAAAAGCTAAAAAGGAGAATAGATATTATTTAGTTCAATCCCCTCATTATTCCAGGGGACCAAGGCCGACAGAAGTTAAATGACTTGCCCAAGGACAAACGATCACTTTGTGGTAGGGTTGGGATTCAAACCTGTGACTTCAAACTCAGTGCTCTTGACATGCCCCCTGTGATGTCGCGCAGGAGTCTTAGTTCTAAAGGACAGTGAATTAGGTCACCAAGCAAGTAGCTCTGTATTTAAGATGCTCTGCCTTGATAACATTCCCACCGTTTCCCGATCCTCCCTTAAAACACTGTGAATCTGCCTTTGTGAGCAGATGATAAAATAAAATCCAGCGGGCCCAATTAACTGTAAAGCACTTACTCTGAAAAATTCTTTTGTTGAGCCGGAGTCCAGGGTCCCATATGCAATTTCAGTCTGCTTAGCTAAGTCTTCAGCACTCTCTATGGGAGAAACCATCCTCTCCACAGTCAGGAAAGCAGCGAGATTGGCCGTATAGGAAGAAATTATGATCAGGGTGAAGAACCACCAAACCCCTCCAACAATGCGCCCGGAGAGTGATCTACAAAACAAAGACCAATCCAGACCCAGAGGGGCCGGATTTCAGTTTAAGAAATCCTTATCTTTACTTTTGGAAAGAGGAATGGTTTCGGTGTAGCTGATGAAAGAGGGAAGTAAATGATGTCAGGGAATTAACACATCGAACAAAAGTGACATGTTGACAGTATCACCACATGTCATGATGGCATGTGATGATGGTACATGCATGATGCTCTTCAGGCCTCTATGGGTTTCAAAGCAGGATTATTTATTTAAGTACGGGAAAAAATACCTTCTTTTTGCCAGTTCCTGCTTAGGTGTAATAATTGTACTTACCTGATTCTCCTCCTGTGAGCTTTTCTGGGCACACCTGTGGAAGACTGCTCTAGTTCCTTTAAGGCAAGTGGCTCCCAGCCTTGCCTGTACCTTAGAATCACCTGGGATCTTTAAAAAAACTTCTCATGCTCAGACCCAGCCAAGACCAAAGAAATCAGAACCTGAGAGGTGCGACCCAGACATATGTATTTTTAAAATCTCTCCAGGCGATTACAATGTGCAGTCAAGGTTGAAAAACACTGATGTAAGGTGATGTCATGGGAGAAACACAGAGTCGAAAAACCTTTCCATATTTGAAGAGAAATGATTAGGTGCTAGCTAGTAAACAAGCACTATGCACTATGAGTTTAACAAATTTAATATAGACATTGCCATTCTGTGGAGCTGATTACCCATAAGGCAAGGGGCCATAAGATAATATTTATTACTGTCTTCATATAAATGGCTAGTGGGGCTCAGGAGTTTAGATCCCAGAGATTGAAACTCCTCCCTTTTACAAATTGAGATGTAGCACATAGGACAGGCCTCAAGGGGAGTAGGAAACTACCTGATTAATAGGATTTGAGAAGCACTAAAAGGTTTGTCTGCACCCTCCCCCACCAAACAAACAAAACCATCCTCACTGGCCCGCCCTAGAAATTCTTACTATTGGCATTATCCTCTGAGCTTTCTTCAGGAGGCTTGGTCAAAAGGTAACATTTTACTTCAACAGCATCTGTTATCATATTATCCTGGATTAGTCTATGCAGTTAGTGGAGAATGGGACAGAAGAAGATGGGTAAATTTTAATCAGGGAAAATTTTGTTCTTAAATGTAACTGTGCATGGGCATTACTTGGGGTGTTTGTTAAAATGCTGATTCAGAATATGAGTGCTCAAAAATCTGGACTTCTCAAGCATCACTGGTGATTGCAGTGGTCTGCGGCCCAAACTGAGAAATATTGTTCTTCTTGTACATCAGTGATTCTCAACTCTGCCTGCACATCAGTACCATTGGGGGAGTTCAAGACAACACAAAACAAAACACAGTGACCAAAAAAATGCCTAGGCTCCACCCCAGGCCAATGAAATCGGAATCTCTGAGGGTTGGGCCTAGGCAGCAGCACTTTTTTTTTTTTTTTTTTTACATCTTTATTGGAGTATAATTGCTTTACAATGGTGTGTTAGTTTCTGCTTTATAACAAAGTGAATCAGTTATACTCCGGGGCAGCCAAGATTGGGAGTCATGGTCCTACATCATGAATGCTACTCAGGGAGAGGGTCTGTGGGCAGTTAGGGGGCAGTGTGAGGGCACTGAATGATGCTCAATGGGTAAGGGCTTGTAGTGAGGAAACTTCATCTCCTTCACAATGCTGCTGAAAGGTTGGCTCTGTTTGCAGAAATGAAATCTGGTCACTAGGTTTTATAAAACATTTGCCACATTATCTCGAGGACAGTTCTGCTCTGTGGTGGAGCTCCATCCTGGTTAGGCTGTGTTCTCTCATGCCCAGAAAAGCTCACAGGAAAAGAACCCACTCTGTCATAGAGTCAAGAATAGGCGTAGGAGCCTGGCACATCTCCAGGCTCTGTGCGAAGAGGGCAGCTCTGGGCTGAAAGCTGGCAAGTCAAGCTCTTCTCTGTCTATCCTCGCATTTTACCACTTTGAAGCAAATTTAAATTCCTGTGTCCCAAGATAACCTTTTTTTTAGCCTCTGGAAAATTCAGTTGTTTTAGATTTTACACCCTGATCAAATAATTTGGCAGGTGTTTTGATAAAGAGTGTTCTTTATTGATTAACTGTAACGAAACTGTTTGGTTTTTTAAAGCCTATAATTCCTATTGGTCCCTGGATGCTTCACATAACCCTTATTTATTTATTTCTGAACATAATCACTTTTAGCGTTTGGGATGTGCAAATCTGCTTTGCAACAGATTTTCTAACTGATAGTTATACTCGCTCAGGATTTCACCTGGGAACATTTCCCTTTTAATCAGAAGATGTAAAAACATCTGGAATCAGAAAGAATGTCACATCTGGATGCTAAAAGTGTACAGAAGATTTCAATTATGAATTTGAAACTTTCATAGTCTTTCTTCATTGTTAACGTATACATTTTATTCTGGGTTGATCTGACTCTGGAAATAATTTTACTGTATAAAAGATGAATGCTCAAAGTAGCATTTGTAGTAATAGGGTAATAAAAATGATAATAATAGCTAACATTTAAGGAGCACCTCCTATGTGCCAGACTCTGTTATAATTGTTTACATGTGTCAACTCCTTTAATCCTCCATCCCTTTACAGATAAGAAAATGGAGCATTCTACAGATAAAGAAATTGAGGCACAGAGAGGAGAAATAGGAAATAAATCATCTAGACTTATGCAATTGGAAAGACATGCCCACATTTCTGTAGTATAAAATACTCATATTTTGTATAAGAAAACCCAAAATGGTGTGTAAATTATAGAAGGAGCAATTTTCCTACAAACACTGAGAAATATAGCTGCAGGAAAACCAAACATGTTTGGATAATTATTGTTTATTATCTGTTGTTCATTTGGAATGGAACTGTGAATGTCATCCTTATTTGGGATGATGGGGTTTTACTGAGATCAAGGGGAAAACTGATTTTGGAGTATTTCCAGAATCATGGTTTGGTATGGAAAAGGGTGTGTTCTGCTGCTGTGAATACTAATGGTAGTTTATGTATTATCTGCTTGAAATGTTGGAGAACAACACAGTAATTTATGGAAATTACATTTGTGCCATTCTATTGCAGCTAATGGACTGTGGCTGTGTCTGTGTGATCTAAAATCAAGCCTGCACATCATAATCTGGTTATTTTGGCCACCTTAATGGCTGACTCAGATAATCATGTGGTTGATCTGTATGACTCAGCTGAAATTGGCTGTTGACATGACTGAAAACAAACCTAAAAGCAAAATGGTCTTTTCTGTGGCCTCTTGTCTACATGGCTGTTGATTTTGGCAATTATGTGGTTAATACTGTGATAGACCTATGATCATGGAGAATTTTGGTGAATATCCACATAGAAATGGTAAAATAGTATCCACGAGCATCAGCATAGACGGAAAAAGGAGCTTCCTTGGAATCAGCGTTGAATGCACAAGCTTGCATTCAGCATTCTCCCTTCAAGACAGTAGTAGCTTTTGTGCCAGTTCAAGTAAGAATTTAACCTCTGTAAAATCTAAAAAAGCCAGACTTATAGAAAAACAGAAGAGAATATAGGTTTTCAGGGGATGGGAGGTGAGCAAAATAGGGGATGTTGGTCAAAGTGTACAAACTTCTAGTTGTTAAGTGAATAAGTTCTGGGGATCTGATGTTTTTTAAAGGGATGGATTTTTAAAAAATATAAATAAAATTTTCTGTTCATCAAAAAAAAAAAAAAAAAGAAAGAAAGAAAGACAGTGGTAGCTTTGACAAGAGCCTTGGTGGAATTTCTACCACTTTCTTCCCTGTATGTCATGGATGCCTAAATCCTTTCACTGAGAAAATGTGCAGTGGAACTCACAGGAAAGAAGCTCTATAAGAATTTTCACATTTCCCTTTTCTCGTTAGTGAAACTATAGCCTTTTAAATCCACATTTCACATGGAGGCTATATAAAAAGTGACTGATGGGTCAGCCCCATCACATTTTTAAAAGGATCTATTAAAACAAGACAAGACTTTATAGTTGAGTTAGAAAGACCTGTCATTTCCCAGTATCTTTTCTTCCATTAATGCAGCTTCAAAATGTTTAACATTCATTTCAAGTAGTTTTGTTGCACAAGACAGATTTTGAGGTTAGCATAATGAAATGACTGTAAAGTGCTGCCATTTAGTATTTATAAAAAATGCATTAAAGGAACATATCATACCTTTTGAAGAAATGTAAGAGGAGGCATGAAGTTAATGAAAGTAAATTAGCAACAAGAGAAAAACAGACATAACATTGCAAAATAATGCTCATGTTACCTGTGATCATAAGAAACTAGAGTTTCCGAGTTAATGATAAAATGTATTTTATGGCCTATGTAATGATAATAAAAGTGAGCTATGTGCTGTAACCTTCATCCTGTAAGTAAATTTTGAAATCGGCACTTTACTAGCTTCACAAGATGAAGACCCGGAACTGCAAACTGCCTCTCTCTCCTTTGCACAAACTCTTTATCATTCCTTTCCTCCCTCTTCTTTCTTCCACGGTAGGCGTCATTTCTACACTGCATTCAATGCTGTGTCTATGACAGATTTATTTTTTTAAATGTGCAGAGTCAATCTTTGGTTCTTATAGTCTTCTCTGATGGGAATAACTAACCATCTCCCAAAGACTGAAAACTACGGCTTTCAGCCAGAAAAGTCATGAAATAGTTGTAATAAAAATCCTGCTACTACAATTAATTTATTACCACACCACTACTGCTTTGAAGTGAATTTGCAGTTGCAGTAGGATGAAGACACTGGTCATACATCAGTAAAGGAAAGGCTATTGTTGCTTTAAACGGAGCCCCAAACTCTCCTATTGTCTTTGATCCCATTCATTTTTTACCCTTCGTATATTTTATTATTCTGCACATACTTTCCATTTAAAAAAGGAGGATCTATGTGTCAGCTAACCTGGACAGATCCCCTGCCTGCTTCTCCAAAGTGTTTGCTATCTGGAAAACTTAACAGGAGAATAATGCCCATGGAATAATCTATACATAGTAACCAGGTTCAAGTTAGTGTGTTCTTTCCATTTTCTCTGCCGCAATTCCCTGGAACCTTGTATCTTCAACTTGACTGGCCCTCAGATGTCCCTGCAGCTTTAGAGAAAGTCAGCAGGGGGAGCATTTGTCTGGAAGGACTTGGACTCTGGCCTGCTTAGCAGTTCCGTCAACGTTTTACAAACGAAATAAATTTCAGGTTAAAAAAAATTCCAGCCACCTGTCAATATCAGCAAGACATTGCGGAATAATACAATCAAAATGTTTGCAAGTTGTGTAATCCTTAGGGAAAGCACTTTATGGGTTCAAGAAGGAATGTTGTTGGTTATTTCTCATCAGAAGTCAGCTATTTGGCACTGACTAAAATTTTAACCGTATTCCTAAGGACTATTAGGAACTAAAATGCAAGTGCAATATGAACGATTAGTATTTGTGAAGCCAGGATGGTTAACAGCAGCCAGTTTAAAAATGATAATAGGTAACGTGTATTGAGAACTTACTATATGTCAGGCACTGTGCTTTACATTTTACAGATGAGGAACTGAGCCTTAGCAAGATTTAGTACCTCGCCCCACGTTACACAACAGCTAAGCGGATTGTGAATCTGGTGAGATGAACTCCAGGACCCGCATACCTAATCACTATGCTCCCTCCATCTGGCTACACCCACTGGCTATCTCCCCATCCCCCAATCAGGGGGAAGAGGGTCGAATCCAATCTCCTCATACTTTCTTCTCCTGACTCTCCCCAACAAATTAGTTTGTGTATGAATATAGCCTCAGCTTATTGCATTGATTACTCAGTCTCCACCTGAATTGGTCACCCTGAACAACTGGGGTAGTTGAAAATATCAAACCTAATATTGACATAGACTCTTTAGGCTTCTAGGTTACTGTTCATAGCTTTTTTGATGGCAGTGGAATCACGCTCAGTTTTCCTCATGATGTCTTGTTGCTGATTTCCCAGTCTTTAACTTTGAGTGAACACATGTTCAGCAGCATTCTTAAATGCTCACTGCCTATTTTCTTAAACAGCCAGGGCAAAGGTACCGTTTCATCAGAGGTTGGGAGACTGGAACACATCTCTTGGGCATGAGCACGAGGAAAAGAATGGAACAAACAGTGCACCTTTAGGTCGGTAGTGGGAGGCTGTGTGTGGTAGTGGAAATAATTGTACTGCTGGCTCTTAGAGCCTCCGCGCCCTCGGGTTCCATCACATTATCTCTCCGGGTACTATTGCTTTCTCTATGATATGAGAAAAGCAGTATGAAGTGGAAAGAGCACAGGTTCTGGAATTGGAGTTGGGTATGAATACTGGCTTTGTCATTAGCTGTGTGACTGGGAAAATTACTTCACCTGAGCATCACCTTCACCTAAAAAATAAGCACGATGCCCACCTTGTGGTAGTGTTTTGAGGATTAGAATTCATATGATAATACAGGTAAAGTGCCCAGATGCAGTGGGAACTCAGAGAAAATTGTTCCTGGGCCCTCAGTAAACGGATGCAACTGGATTAATTTATCTCTGACATCTCCTCCTGCTATGATATTTGATAATTCTACTTTAAAATGTGGTCTCTTATAATGCCTTGAATTGCTCCAATTTTGAGAAAAGTCAGAGTGTACAATGCTTGCCCACGTTCTGGGCTTTCTGGAGAGTTTGCATTCCAAGGATGGCCATTGAACAGAAATGGGGCTGTGTGCCCCATTGCTGGGTTGAGTTGTGACCAGCATTTAGAAAAAAAAAAAAGAAAAGAAACAGAATAGATAGTATCAGAGTGCATGGCACACTGTAAGGGTAATTTCTGGTGAAATTTTGTTACGTACATATATGTGTACCGAGTTGTGATGGAAAATTTCTCTCTGACCGAGGGTTGTGCTCAAAACATTTGAAAGCCATCACTCTCTAGGACAGTGTCTAGTGCAGAATAATACAATCTGTACCTTGAAAAAAGCACTTGATATATTTCAGCGCCACAGAAGAGCCACAGCTTAAATTCTGCTACAAAAAATGAAAATAAAGAATCTTTCCAGCTTGTCATTTTCAGGCCATCATTTTTAAGTTATTACTTAATGAGGTAATATGCATAAATACTTCTAAAAACAAATGGCCTTTTAAGAGTCCTGTTTGAGTATGCACAGCAGCATGTAGCACTCCAGTGGGGATATCACAAATTTAGTTTTGAAAATGCACTTACAGAAACCAATAAAATCTCCAGCCTTAATAAGTCTTTAGCATCGTCTCAACACAGATTACCAGCCATGTTAAAATCATTCAATTACAGGATCATTCAGAAACCCTCATCTCTTGAAGTGAACATTTTAAAAAATCAGAAAAGAAAGAAACTAGCACAATTAACTCCCAGATGATATCACAAAACGACACACATTCCAAGCACAGAAGGAATAGGGAGTGAAATAATTTGGAGAATCTGACCAAGCAGATTGAGGGTGGCAAAAAAGAATGACAGATCAATGAGGCTTACCCCACACGTGTTATACTAAAAAGCTGCTGAAGATGGTTACCAGCGATCTGTACTGCAAAACTTCATTTTAAATGTTTTGTGCTCCAAGTGGATAACCTCAAATGAAGTATATATGCTATAAAAACATGGTAGGTGACCTTCTCAGTCCTTCTAGTCTAAATGAAAATCCCTATATGTTTGTATAATTGACTCTGGTCAGTATTTGGATTAATGTTCAATTTTACCAAAGCTACAACTTCTTATTTCATTTTTTTCTGATTATAAAGATGTTACATTTGCTTACAGTATTTTATAATTATGAATTTGCCACCATTTTTGTTTAGATGAGTCGACACTTTAAGTGGGTAAGGTCTAGGATATTCACATTCAATATCTTCAGTAGCTTCACTGAGGTAAAATATGCATACCATACAATTCACCAATACAAGTGTACAATTAATGATTTTAGTAAAGTTAGAGTTGTGCAACCATTGCCACAACCCAGTTTTGGAAAATTTCCAACACTCTGAAAAGTTGCCTTGTGCCCTTTTGTGGTTAATCCTGATAGGAATGGGACTAGGGTGAGGCAAGTGAGGCATTTGCCCCACACACAGAATTTAAGGGGGTGCCAAAATCTCATTAATCAAAATAAAGAGAATTTTAGTACAATTTTTTTAAAAAATCAAAATTAATTCAAGAAAATCCATGATTAACAAAATAGCAAATTTTAAAATGAAGACTGGATCTGACCCCTGTACTTGCTCTACTCAGCTTCACTTGCCTCACCCTAATCTTGATCCTGATCAGCCCCTCTCTGCTCCCTCCAAGGCCCCGGAGACCAACAACGTGCTTTCTGTCTCTATTGATTTGCCTCTTCTGGACAAATGGAATAATACAATATGGGATAGTCAATAAATGGAATCCAAGTAATGGAATCATATGGTAAGTGGCCTTTTGCATCTGGCTTCTTTCATTTAGCATCATGCTTTCAAAGTTAATTTAGTAGCATGTATCAGTTGTCCTTTTCTTAGTTGCTCAATAGTTTCCCATTCCAAATGTGGTATGGATATGCCACACTTTGTTTATCCATTCATCTGTTGATGGACATTTGGGTTGTTTCCACTTTTGGCTATAATAAATAAAGCTCCTATGAACATTTGTGTATAAGTCTTTGTGTGGATATGTTTTCTTTTCTTTTAGGTAAATAAGAGTGGAATTGCTGTGCCATATTTTAAGTGTATGTCTAATTATAAGAGACTGCCAAACCATTTTCCAATTTGGGTGTAGCATTTTGCATTCATGCTACTAACGGATGAGAGCTATAGTCATTCCACATCCTTGTCACCACTTGGTATTATCTGTCTTTTTGATTATAGCCATTCTAGAGGATGTGTAGAGCTGTCTCACTGTGATTTTAATTTGCATTTCCCTAATGACTAATGATGTTGAGCATCTTTCCATGTGATTATTAACCATTTGTATACCTTCTTTGGGGAAATATCTATTCAAACCTTTCATCCATTTTTAGAATTGGGTTGTTTATCTTCTTTTTATTAAGTTGCAAGAGATCTTTATATATTCTGGATACAAGTCCTTTATCACATGTATGATTTCCTAATATTTTCTCCCACTGTGGCTTGTCTTTTCATTTTCTTAATGATGTCTTTTGAAATGCAAAATTTTTGAATTTTGGTGAAGTCCAGTTTATCAATTTTTACAGTGGATTGTGCTTTTTGCGTTCTGGACGCTCTTTGTCCAATCCAAGGTCACACAGACTTCCTCCCATATTTTCTTCTAGAAGTTTTACTGTTTTAGTGATAAAGCTTGGGCAGGATACTACAGTGAAATAGTTCTAGGCAGTCAGAGAGAAAAAATGAAAAATGGAGGGGAAAGGGGAAGGTAGGAGGGTTTTAAAGAAGAGTTCTGTCTTTTAACTATTTTCTAGATCCAGTCTCTGGACAAATGAGAGAATGTTCTAGCTCAGTTAATGAGGAAACCATGCCTGTTTGTTCTGATCAAGATTTAGTGTTAGCTTTATCTGAATAATATCACTATTAGCTGGCAATGTTGCCTTTATCCAGAGTTCAAATGTTTGCTATAATGTGTATAAATTGATGATACCATAGAAATGCATGAAAGACATTCAAAGCAACACCAATAACACACTCACTTCATGGACGCAAGCGAACGAAAATGGCTTGATGATAATTTGTCACTGGATGGAATGTTAAATGAAAGAAATCTGGACTTGAGATGGGTGAATATCAGATGTGCATGAATGGATCATGGCCATAACATGCAAGGAGGCATTGGGTATGACATGGAAACAAACCTTGGAGAAATATCACATCCTTGCTGCATAAAGGCACCCAAGGAAAACCAAAGACTGTTAAATATTCCAAATTCATTTGGAGGATCAGGAGGGCTTTGCGGGTCACGAGGTTCTTCATTGTTGTCTTCCAAGTGCCATTCGTAAGGGCTGAATCTGCTGACTAGGAAAAGAACTACACTGACTCCAATGTAAGCGAAGACGATGCACATCCAGATTTCATAAGCCAAGGGATCCAGAAACGAGAATACTCCTGGTTTTGATTTCTGAGGCTTCTTTATCATGATGGAGATGCCCAGGCTCATAAACGGCTTTGAGAAATCGATGACTTCTTCACGGACCAGCGTTATAGTGAGTGGAGCAACAGCTATATCAGCCCTCTGGAAAAAGAACATTTTTTGACTTTTAGAGACAGTATTTCCATTAGTCATTTGCCACTTAATATACTTCTTTGGTAGAAATATAAAGTCTTAAGTCACTATAGCCAGCTGATTTGTCAATGCTTTGGTTAGACAAGTAGTAGCATTCAGTGGGTCCTAAAATACTCCAACTTGATGGTAAGTTAAGGAAAAGACACTTCGTCCTCTGAGGCATATTGGCGTAGGGCACCTGATTCAATTTTTTTGTCCTAAAATTGTTTTGCTACCTTGCAACTCAACTTCTACTCTCCTGTGACATACCACTGTTTAATTCTTATATTCTTATTTTAATTTTCATTCACTTATGTCATATCTCCCCTACCTGACCGGAAATTCTTGTGGGAAAAGCAGAATAGTCTATACTTTTGATATGTGCCTCCCTCCCCACCATGAGGTGCAACACAGGACTACAGTACTCAGTTTAACACTTGAGTGTTTGCCATTATTCTTGACTTATTTCTTTGAGAGTACGTCTATATAAACATAAGTTCTTTGAAGGCAGGGGTTCAATTTCCTATTTTTGTATCTATCACTGCAAAAGATCCTAAACTAAAGAAACTGTAGATGCCTAAAAAATAAGCTCTTGACTATTGAATACGAAATATGCAAACATGAAAGAATTCTGCATGGGCAATAAGGGCAAAGCAGTTACTACAATACATATTAATTTATATAGTAAGCCATCATTTCTAGCGATGAATATCAGTGTAGCACTCACATGTATTGGATCAATAAAATAAATGTGTCAGTAGTGCACTGCAGAATTAGTTCAGGCAGAGGCAGACGATGTTTTTATATTAAGTCCCATGAAAATAGGCACTAGGAGCTTCTACACTTATGTCTTTTGTCTTCCACAATAGTTCCCTTATGTCAGTAGTAGGTTTTAGTCTGGAGCCAGGCCTTAAAATGCATACTTAGAAAAATGCTCATAAGGAAAGGCTTTGGGTGGTATATCAGGTATAAAGTGAAAACACCAATTTTGATGATCATTTTTTCTTTGTTAAATAGGTATGCCTCAATATCCTTACCAGTAGGGGAAGAATGATGAAATCTGAGACAGGGTTTTTTTTTGTTTGTTTTTTTTTAATGTTTTAGTACTTTGATTTACATATGGTGACTCAAACTGGTTAAGAAACACTCCTTAATTAATTGAAGGGGAAATGCAGTAATAAACAGCCAGCTAACATTGATTCAGTGCTTACTCTGTGTGAGGTGTTGTGCTAAGCCCCTTATACATATTTAATTCTCACAGCAACCTTGAGGTTGGTCCATGATCATTCCCATGTTAGAGAAGGAGGAAGTGAGGTACTGAGAGGCTGGGATTAGAACCCTGGTCTTCAGATTCCAGAACTCACTCTCTTAACCACCGTAATATTCTAACTCCAGAGATATTTGCACGTTTCTACTATATATTACTGTATGTAGAATAATCAACCTCAGCCAACGCCTCTCGGGTTCATTCCAGTGTATATCTGAGTGCCTATTCTGTGCCAGGCACTATTCTTGGTGCTGGGGTGAAGCAGTGAGTAAGACAAACAAAACAGACAAAAATCTGCTGCAGAATGTATGCATCTATTGAAGCCAACAGCCTGCTGACCAAATCTACCTTGAAGGCTGACTACCATCTCAAACTCACCATTTCTAAAATTAAATCCATCATCTATCACCGTGAGGTTGATTCTTCTTTAAGTCTGTGAATGATGCTTATTCCAAACGTTTCCCAGTCCCTAATCCTTATGTACCCTCTCTGCAGATGATCTTGCCTCTTCCTTTACTGAGAAGATGGAAGCCACCTGATATGAGCTCTGTCACCTCAGTGCCTTTCTTCTCTTCCTCAATACATTGCTGTCTCTTTATCCCTGCTGTCATTCCCATCGCTTAGAAAATGAACTCTTTCTTTCTAAGATTTAATCTACGTATTCCTTGCATCTCATACTCTTCTGTCTCCTTAAAATTCAGCTGTTTATTCTCTTTTGCTATTTTTTCCTTCTCAGTCTATTCCAGTGGTTCTCAGTGTGGGATTCCCCAGACTTAGCAGCAACAGAGTCACCTGGGAACTTGTTAGAAATGCCGATTCTCAGGCCCCACGCCATGTTTATTTAAATAAGAAACTTGGGGGGGTGTGTAGGTGGCCCTCCAGGTGATTCTAATTCTTGCTGTAATTTGAAACCACTGACAGATCTTATTCACTTAATAATTACCTCATACTCAGGTAATTCCGTTTGCTGACAAAGAAAAATGAAAGAAAAAAACACTTCCTCCTCCTTTTTTTGATCCCACTACCCTCTTAACCATACAGCATCACTCCCGAGCACCACCAATCTTCTTGAAAAATTCGTCTTTACTGTCTCTTGATTTTCACACAATGTGTCCCTTATACACCTGTGCTCTAACTTCCATTCCCCTCCAATTTAGTGAAATTGCTTCTTGAACTATATGCTTGGTTACCAAATTCAAAGACCTTCCCGCAGACCACTCATATGATACCACTGGCCCTTAGCACTATGTATACCCTCTTTCCTTAGCTCTCTGATGCTGAAGACTATGGGTTCTTCTCCTACCTTTCTGAATGTTCCTTTTCTGTCTTTGCTTCCTAGCTCTGCTCTCTCAGTGAAGATGTACGTTTGTACCTCCAGAGTCTATTCACGGGCCCTGGTTTGGTAGGTAATTTATGAAGGTTTGTGGAATAAGCAAGTCTCTTCAAGGTTCTGTTCTTCCTTTCTCCCCTCAGTATTAATTACCTATGGCTTCAGCTCTTCCCTCATTGAGCTAACTCCTGAATCACCAGTTGCACATTTCTAACTGGAGGGGAGACAAACACAGATTTTATCTATTTTACTCTTTTGCCTGGGGCCAGACCAGGTGGTAGAAACAAAAGCAACTGAGGAGAATGGAATTGGCCCAAAAGCTAGTGGGGTTTTTTGGCACAGAGAGTCTGAATCAGATAGAAAGAACCGTGTCATGCCAAGAGAATTCACAGATAAAGCCACCTTCTATCCCTGCCAACGTATTTCTACCTCCTGCTTAGAACGTGCAAATGCCCTGCTAGCAGCATTTCCCATTTGATCTCATTTGATTTAATTACTTCATTTAACTGGTCTTTTTATCTTTAAAGTCAAAATACTAGATAGTTCTAAAAGAAATTGCCACTTCTTTGTTTTGGAAGGAAGAACTAAGGGACACTTGTGTGAGAAAATCACTTTGGATTGAGTTTAGGGGAATTAGGTTCTTTTTCAAGCACGTCAAGAAAGGATTTTGAGAATCTCGACACCCTTTAAGAGAAAAAAACCTAACTCAGTAACTGAAACACTCACCAGATGATAAGCACAGCTAAATGCTAACAAGATGTGGCTAGATAGACAAAGCGGGGCTTCTTGTCTGGTTCCCAGGAACGTGCAGCAAAAGAACAGATTCCCAAAAAGAAAGCCATTTTTTAAAAAAATTTTATTTATTTATTTTTTGCCTGCCTGAGCATCTGTATTTTTTTTTTTTTTTTTTTTTTTTTACTGAGGTATAACTACTGAAGCCTGCGCGCCTAGAGCCCGTGCTCCGCAAGAAGAGAAGGCACCGCAATGAGAAGCCTGCGCACTGCAATGAAGAGTAGCCCCCGTGCGCAGCAACGGAGACCCAACGCAGCCAAAAAGAAGAAGCCATTTTTAGTTTGAGGAAGTCACACAAGACAACAGGAAGAAGCTGCTCCTCTCAGGCACTTGCTCTTCAGCCGGGCTTTTCTAACTTTACTGAATTGTTTCGTTCTAAGGAGCTTTTTCAGAGATGGCAGTTTGTTTTTCTGGAGGGTGCTTCTTCAATGAAGAACAGTGTTAAATCTGTGCTCAATTAAGCCTCATTGATGTGGACCTGCCTCCAAAATGAGAATTACCACGCTGAACCTGAAAAAAGACCTGTACAGACAGGAATAGACAAAGGGATAGCAAAGGGCAGGTAGGAGAAGGCTCAACTGGTGGAGAAGGGATCGACCCCTCCCATCTCTTGCATGCTTCGTGAGGCCAGCGCAGCAGAACGTCATATCAGCTCATAGCCAGCCTTGGAGAAACCCTTGCCCTCTGCCACCACTGTCCCTTCCTCCATATGAAAAGGCTCTTGTCATGGTCTCTTATTTCAGAGCTCCAGGCCTGCTTGGCATAATGTCTGTGACGCAATCAACATACTTATTAGAGGAAATGGGGAGTAGCAGGTAACTAACGGGTGTCAGAAAGGACCCATTTAGCTCTCCTGGGACAGCTGTAGCATGCAGATGAGCGGGAAGGTCATTTTCAGGTCAAGGGGCCAACACTGATGAAAAAGTGAAAAAGGCAACTCCCCAAATGGCATTCCTTTCCTGGTCTCGGCTCCTTATGAAAGCCAGCTGTGTCTGGGAGAGAGTGTTAAGAATTCTCCGTAGGGCTAGGGAGCAGCTGAAATTCGGACGCAGTAGTGAACTATCTCACTTGTGGCATCCTGAGTCGGTCCAGCGGCCTTTTGTCCTCAAGCCTCTGCCTGTGCCAGTAACAGACGTCAGCAGGCCATTTTCAGAAACCTTGGTGGGGAAGTAGGTGGTGTGACGGTGCTCTGGGTGATGGACAAAACCCAGCAAATGGAAAGAGCTCAGGGTAAGAGTTTGCTAGCGCTTTTGCTTGCATCTTGACTACTTAGAGGATTTTCATCAAGCGGCTTAAGAGTGGCTGTGTGGGCTCAGTAAACACACAGAATTAGGTTTGATTTTTCCACTCACCAGTGGCAAACCCGGAGTAACTGCACTACTGCAGGGGATTTAGCTTGAGGGGATATATAATCCTTTTCATAGGTGGGTTGCCAAAGTCCTAAATTTCATAAAACTTAAAACCCAACAAACTCATATGTATAGGGACGATGCGCTTAAGAGTCTGACAGGTTGAAGACAGAAATGATGCTTATTTTATTTTTTTAAACATCTTTATTGGGGTATAATTGCTCTACAATGG